CCGAGACCGGGAGGGCCCAGCAGTCCACCAGTCCTGGCTGGTGGGCCGCAGAGCCCGGCCCCCCCCCCGGGAACCCCTAGGAGGGAACGGTTTGCCCCGCTCCTCCCCAGCCGGAGCGGGAGCCGCCCGCTCAGGAGAGAGGCAGCAGGAACCCGGCCGGTGAGCGCCGTCTGCCAGCCGCACCCGAGGGCGGCGCGGTCCGGGAATGAGCCTCACACCGCTGCGTCTGTGGGGAGCTGACGGGCATTCTACTGAGGTACCCCGGGAGGACTCCCCTGAAGCCCCAGCCTTCAAACCCCCCACGATGGCCCTGAGCAGCATGGCTCCCTGGGTTGGGCGTCGGCTGTGCCGCAGAGCCAGGGGCCCCCTGTTTGATGCCTGGGTTTCACGTTCAGCCTCCCGCTGGGGCTCCTGGGAGAGACGGCTGGTGGGTGTCTCTCTCCCTCCCTCCCCCCCTTTCTGACAATAAATAAATACAGCCCCAAAGAGAAAGCCCTCAGGAAGAAGGACCCAGCTCTCTCTCCCCGACCTTCCTCCCCTCCCCCGTTCCCCTCCCCCCACAGGCTTGCAGGGCCTCCTAAACTCTGAGGGCCCCCACAGGATTGGCAACTGGGGAGCAGTGGGTGGCAGCCGCTCATTTCAGGCTCACCCCCACCCCGGAACCTGCCCCCCGGGGCCCCCTTTGCCCCTGACTGTCCAGTGAGCGGCCAGCGGCCACATCTAAGCTCACTCCTCTCCCGTAACATTTCTGGGGGCCCGGGGCACCCCCACCTCGCTCTCTCCTGCTGCCTCGCCTCTGTCCTGCCGTGCGTCACTGTCCCCAGCTATCACAGTGTGCTCTCAGAATCCCCCGGACTCGCGTTGTGAAATCTTTTCCTGCATATACTCAGGGGCCCCCCCGCCACCAGCCGCCCGAGGTGGGCCCCCTGGGACAGCCACAGGGGGCTCTGCCGTCGCCTCCCACGTCCCTCCTGGCCCCACACCGCCAGGTCACCACGCCGGAGGAAAGGCAGGTCGGGGAAGCCGCTCTGGACTGGCCAGAGGGAACAAGTCCAGCAGGCTCTGGGGCCCGCGGGCTGCCCCTCGCGGTCTGGCACCGGGCCCGGGGGACACTGGCTTGAGACACGTGGGCGTGGTGTGTGACAGGCAGCACAGACTGTGGGCTCTGGATGGCCGGGGAGATGTGACAACGTGGGCCGTCGGCGTGGCCTTTCGACTGAAGGACGCCAAGTGGACAGACACAGAGCCTAAGACGACACAGGACAGGAGTTCGCAGGACGGGGGCGGGTGGGGGAGGGCGAGCTTGGGGCCTTTGCTCCTCTGCCCCCAGCCACAGGCGCTCTCCTGCACCCAAGGGATGCTCGCGCGGTAGCGTGTTGGACACCGGAACGCGTGTGACCCTGTCGACAGGCGCAGAGAGAGCATTCGGCAAGATCCAGTTTCTGTTCTCGAGAAAACGTCCTCGCTGTTCGGGAGAGCAGGGAACGCCGGGGGTCTGATGAGAGGCTCCGCCCCAAAGCTCGCGGGGTCCCCCGAGTTATCGGGCAGTGCTGGGAGCTGGCCCCGGGAGGCCGGCCAGGGGGCCGCAAGTCTGGCTGGAGGCGGCTGGGGCCGGCGAGGTCTGGGGAGAGGCAGCGCCGTCTCTACTCACAGGCCACACGGCTGCGTGCGCAAGGGCCTGAGCGTGGACAGAGAAACCACGGCCCTGAGCGGGGCGTTTAGCTCCGTTGCTGGATTCAGAATCTGTGGGCAAGATCGAGCTCTAACTCTGTGTTAGTGGCTGTGCGGGGAAAATAAGCTTTCCTAAACTGACGTTATTTCCAGCACCCAAAGTCCGGGAATAATGCACAAGATCACTGCAGGGGAAACCGGAACATGTTATCGGAGACGCGGAGGAAGGTCGAAACCCGTGGAGAGGCGTGTTCACAGGCCGGGAGACCGCAGCTCCTCCCCCAGCGCACTCCTGCTCTCCAGGCTGATTCGCAGAGCCGGAGAGCCGTCTGCGCAGACCCCACCCCACCCGTGGGAGCAGGAGGCCCCACTGTCCCGTCCCCACCCATTCGGTGGACAGTCGCTGAGTCCCAGGAAGTGGTGTGACCGTCCTGGAGTCATGCACGCGTCCTCTGGTCATCAGAAATGGGGCTGCTCATGTCATTAGGGAGGAAAAGGCCTTTGTCCGAGTTCAACTGCTCGTCGGGGCGGGGCGGGGCCTCGGGAACTGGGCTGCCTCATAAAGCGGCAGCCCGGTGCGGGGGGTTGGGGGGGGGCAGCACAAGGGGCTCCAAGCACGCGGTCCGCACAGAGACCCGCAGGGAGGCCCCAGCTGGACCCATGCATCTGCCCCCCCTTGGGGCATCCCAAGGTTAAAGTCGCAAAAAAGCGCCTCATTGCAGGTCCCTCTTGGGGAGGCTGGAGCACGGAGGAGGAGGAGGAACTCATGCAAAACGTCAATTTGTAAAAAGAGCAGTTTCAGTAACTACTACTGTTCTGCACCCGGTGGTTTCAGGCCGGTGGAGGTTTCGTGTTGGCACTCCTGAGTGGGAGTCTACCACGGACAAGGTAATCTCCCTGCGCAGAGGGGCGGTGCCCAGTGGTGAGCTGGGTCCCAGAGTGAAGTGCTTCCGGGTCGGCCAGCGCAGCAGGCCCCGGAGCGGAGGGCGGTGGAAGGTGGGGGAGGGGACCTCGCGTTCCCACCCCACTGCACACCTTGGGGAGAAGGAGGGACGCCCGAGTCTGCAGAAACATTGCGGGGGAGCTGTCTGGAGCCTGTAAAAGCGGTTCAGAGCTGCCTGGTCTCCCCCAGCGTCCAGCCCCTTCACCCGCCAGCAGACCCCGCCGCCTCTCTCTGCTGGGCCCGCTCTGGTGAACTCCTCCCCGCGAGAAAGCTAGTCCGTGTTGTTGCGTGTAGCCGTAGCTCCTTTGTGGGTTTTTTTTTTTTCCTTTGTGCTGACTAGTGTTCCTTTAGATGCGTGTACTACGGTTTGTGCATTCGTTTTCTTGGTGGCGGGCTCGGGGCTGCTCCCGGTCTTGGCGACGAGCGAAGCCGCCGAAACCGCGCTCGTGCGTCTTTCTCCAGGCACGCGTTTTCACGCCTCCCGGGCGACTTGGCAGTCGCATTGCCAGATCCACCAGTTACGTTGCCGGATCCACAGCATTGGACCCATTGGGTTGGATCGTCAAGCGGGTGTTTTTTAATTGTACGAGAAACTGACACAGAGTTCTGCAAAGTGGTTGACCGCTTTCGACACCCACCGGAAATGTCGGAGGGTTTCGGTTGCTTCACCTTCTTTCCAGCACTTGACAGAGCGGGTCTGTTTCACTCTGGCGGCCCCGGTGGGCGCGACGCCGTGTGCCCAACGTCACAGACGGCGCCTGAGCCTCCTCGCAGGCTTCTTCGTTTCAGCGTGAAGGGGCCCGGCCTTCCGCCTGGCGTCCGCTGTGAGCTGTGCATCGCATGTGGACGCCCCTCACCCAGCCGGGAAAGTGCCCTCCGCCGCTCCTTGGCTGCGTGACTTCATCGCCCACGGCGAGGGCTGGGGGAGGGCGGACTTGCCACGTGCTGCAGCTGAGCCTGCCGGGACCACTGCGAGCCGTGGTGTCCTTTATCCTGCTACTGAAGAGACTGCCACCGACACTGACTCGCCATCAGATACGAAGCCAAAGTTAGTTATATATTTACAAGGGGCGGACCCAAGAAAAGCCAGGCTTGATTTATTAAAAATTTGTGTATTTATTCTCACATGTTTAAACTTCAGTCACCTTCAAAGTGTTCTCCATGTGATGCAACACACCTATGGAGACGTTTTCCCCACTGCTCAAAACAGTGTTTGCACGTGTCAGTTTTGATTCCTTTTGGTGCTTCTGCTGTTTTCCGTTTCACTTCCTCCACATCAGCAAAACATTCCCCTTAGACGTTTCTCATCTGGGGGAAACAAAGAAAAAATGTTGCACAGGGTGAGATGGGGTGAATGGGGAGGGTGGAGCATGGGGGTCATGCCATTTTGGGTCAAAAATTGCTTAATACTCAGCGCAGTGTGGGCAGGTGTGCTCGTAAATCCCCCATCATGAAATAGCCAAACACACTGAAAGTCTTCAAAAAAAATTTCACTGAAGCAGAACGCAGCCTCTCACGACAATACCAGCTGGCACACTGACACAGGTGGGTTCCTAGAACGCTCACCTAGCAGGGGAGACCTATACTACAAGGGGCCCATCTTCCAGAAGATAATTCCAGTTTGCAGGGTCCTCCCTCATATATAGTGCTGGATTTGATTTGCTAATATTTTGTTAACGATTTTTTAAAGTCCTTGTCCAAGGATATGCTTACGAATTTTTTTTTGAGAGAGGGAAACATTGGTGAGAGAGAAAAACATTGATTTGTTGCCTCCCGTACCTGCCCCAACCCAGGATGGAACCTAGGCATGTGCCCTGACCAGGGGTCGAACCCGCAGCCTTTCTGTGCATCGGAGTACTCTCCCACCCACTGAGCGCCCGGCCAGGGCGGGCCTCCCCCTTTCTTCCTCTGTCAAGTGAAGGAAGGGGCTGGGTGTCCCCTAGGTGCATGACAGCAGCGACGTGCACGCCCGAGTGCCAAGCAGGGGCCACCTCCCCCAAGCCTACAATGACAAGGAAGATTCAACTTCAGATGACGCAGGAACAGTCTCGGGCACAGAAAGACACGGTCCCGACTTCCGAATTACAATTTCTACGAAGTAGAGGGGACTGGCCCTGCGGGCATTGGGTTTCCAGCGTCTGGGAGAACCTGACCCCTCTCGCCCCGAAACCCGGGCAACCCTGAAATCCATTCCCGCAGCCCTAGCGCAATCGACCTCCTCGGGCGCCGGACGTCACGAGGCCGCGGCGTGGTTGCCTGGGAAACGCCCACGTGCCTCCGCAATGCTTCCCGGGCCTCGTAGTCTGTCCGCGGCCCCGCCTGGGCCAGTCGCGTGTAAGAGAACTACAACTCCCAGGAGGCAGCGCGGCGGAGGCGGGCGGGGCGGGGCGGGGCTTGGCGAGACCTGTGGACCTGAGTGCGGGGTCTCTGAGGCCGGAGGAAGGACATGGCGTCGCACACGGTCGGACCCCGGCTGCGCCGGCTCCTGGCGCCGCCGCTGCTGCTGCTCCCGCTCCTGTTGGTGCTCGGGCCCTGGCAGGTGGCGGGCCACGGCGGCAAATACTCGCGTGAGCAGAACGAGCCCGAGCGGCCCCCGAAGCGCGAGCCCGGTGGCGAGTTCCGCATGGAGAAGTTGAACCAGCTGTGGGGGAAGGCCCAGCGGGTGAGCGGCCGGGCCGGGGGCGCTGCCGGCCGGGTGGGGCTGTGGTCCTCCGGGAGCTGCGCGTGTCGCCTCCCCCTGCCCCAGCATTTCCGTCTTGACTCCCCGTGAAGTTCTGCAGTTCCTCTTTGGTGCATACGAGCGCTCGTGGGACCTGGACGCCTTCGGGTGTTGCGAGACCCCGGATCCCCGGGGTTTGAGAGAAGTCCTGCAAGGGGCCTCGCCCTCTTAGCTCAGGGTCACGTGCTGGCGGGGTGGCAGAGCGCCCGGGAGCAAGGTTCTGGGAGCTGCGAGCTCCTGTCGAGGGCTCTTGTCCTCACTCGGTGATTAAAACCGTTGAAGCGCTTGTGCTCCACGGCGGGGGCCCAGACAGGGAGGGAGGCTGTGTGTGACCGCCCCTGTGCCCTTATGGGCCGCCTGTGGCCGGTCCCCTTCCCTGGGGCACCAGGAGGGACCCTGGAGGGCGGGCCAGGGGTGGGTTTCACTCGCACACCTGGTGGTGGGTGGGACGTGGTCGTCCCGAGGGCGCCTCCCCGGAGCGCCTGGGGGTCTCAGGCCCCACCAGGGGCGGTGCCGCACTGAGGCTGTACACCGCCGGGTCTCCAGGGACTACTCCGCACACTGTTGCTCAGCCGGGGACCCGAGCTGTGGCCCATTCCGAGCAGTTTTGTTTTTTTTTTTAAACTGCTTTGTTGCATATTTAATGCACATATCCGGATGGGTTTGAAATGGAGTATGTTCACTTGTACCATCGCCACCGTCTACGCCACAAACACACCCCCGTGGTGCTGGTCTGGCGGTCATTGGTGGTCCTCTCTACTCTGAATGCTGGACACGTCCCGCTCTGCGTTTGGCTGCTACTAACTTGTTCTTTTCACGGGAGGCCTTGACGGGTAACTGTAATTTGAAGAGATATTGAAAGAATCCGGGGCGGGGGGAGGGTGCCGGGTGTTCGTTCCCACGGGACCTGGAGCAGGGCTCTGAGGAGTGGGGGCTGGCGGTCCCTCCCTGAGCCGCACGGGTGCCGGCTCCGGCTCACTCGCGGGCTGTCCGTAGCCACCCTCTGCCCGGGGGCTTTTTGAGGATTGCGGGCCCTGGGCACAGGCGACTGCTCTGCAGTCACGCTGCTGGAGGTTCCTTTGCTGCCGGACCTCCGCTTTTAACGTGCTGACGTCACCAGGTGGGGCAGTGCGCAACCCTGCCCCTCCGCAGCCGCCCAGAACCCGGTTCCCGAGTCCAGGTCTGGCTGTCCGCGGTGCACATCTTTGCCTGCCCGTCCACTTCACAAACAGGGCCTGGCTCTCGGCTCGCACCACGCGCAGCCTGCAGCCCGAGCGCACCTGCAGGTGGCGTCTGGAAGTCGGCGTTAAACTAGAAACCCCAAAGCACGTTTTTCTTCTTGTGGGTCTTTTATGAGCATTTAGGTGCCTTCTTGTTTCCAGTCAGCGCCGTCTGTAGCGGTGGCCGCCGCGCTGTGACCTGAGCGTTTCTTGTCACAGGCGGGTCAGGATTTTGAGGGTGGGAGAAGGAACGGAAGGACAGGAAACCCGAGGGGGTCAGGTTTCACACTTCTGTTCAGACTCAGAAGTCACAGCTGTTTTCTCCTGCGCTCAGAACCAGCACGAACCGGAACGCAGGCTTAGTGTGACCCCGGTGACTCGTCCCCTGGGGTCGGAGGCTCGGGAAGGGAAGAACCTGCCCAGTCCAGGGGCCCTTCCCTGCGGTTCCTTCTGGGGCAGCGGCCCGGTGCACACGTGTCCTCTCGCCCGGCGCCGTTCCCTCCCCCCGGGGAGCAGCCCTGGCCCCGGGGAGCAGCCCTGGCCCGCTGGCAGTGGCGGAGCAGCAGTCGGAGGGGCTGGTCCGTCTAAGAAGCAGAGGCAGTGCGAGCGTCAGACCGGGGGCCAGTGAGGGGTGGAGACCGGAGGCCCGAGGTCACACTGCTCTCCTTATGAAGGACTCCAGGAGTCTGTGCTTTCATCCCCACTGTGCCCGGGACCGCACGCTCGGCCCCGCTCCGCGTGACCTCTGGCTCCGGAGGCTGTGGGTACAGGGCCCTCGGTGCTGGCGAGCCCCAGTGTGCAGCCAGCCGGGGCGCTCTCCCCTCCCCCGCCAGCAGGGGGCGCGTGCCTCCAGCCCACACTGGCCCTGAGGGCTGACCCTCCCACAGGACAGGCAGGAAGTTGGGCACCCTGCACACCCAGCCCCAGGTGTGTCACTGGGGGTCCTTAGCGAGTCCCGAAGGGGGGGTGTCAGGTGTGTGAACTAATTAATATTTGCAGCCGCCAGTTTCATGGAACAGGCGAGAACCCTCACGTATCTTTTCCGCTGGGAGAGATGGTGTGGCCCCAAACCAGGCGGGGCGGCGGGGCGAGGCCGGGCAGGGGTGCGGCTCTCGGGAACTGGGGTCCTGCCCAGCCCCCCTCAGCGGGCGCCTGCTCACGAGGAAAGCTTCCCAGCCAGTGAGCTGTGGCGCTTTTTATCTTTAAGACGTTTCTCGTCAACTCGGCCTTCTGTCCTCTTTAATTTAATAATAGTCACGGTCTCACAGTACAAGAGCTGGTTTCCTCAGCAAGCCCCGCGTTCTGGCCCCTGCATCCCCTCACCCCGCTGGCCCGGGTGCCCCGTGACTGTCCCCAGGTTCCAGGGAGGGATGGTGGGGCATCCTCTTGCCTTCCCCACCTGTGCCTGCAGGCCCAGGCCGCTGAGGACAGGCGGCTCCCTGGGGACGCACGGTCCAGGCGAGGCCGGTGGTCCTCGCCCCTCAGGGCCGGGGTCCCTCCAGGTTCCCCTTCTGGACCATGTGCGGGACTTGGCAGGGCTGGGGCTCCGACCCCGAGTTCTGCCCAGCTGCCGGGGTCTCCGGCCGCCCTGTCTCCGGGGTCAGCCTCTCCCGGCCGGTGTCGTTGGTGCTGCTGCACGGCCCGTCGTCCCACGTCCCCACCCGTGTCCCGCAGCTGCAGCTGTCTCCCGTGGAGCTGTCCGAGCTGCACGCTGACCTGAAGATACAAGAGAGGGACGAGTTCGCCTGGAAGAAGCTGAAGGCCGAAGGGTTAGACGAAGACGGGGAGAAGGAGGCGCAGCTGATCCGGAACCTCAACGGTACCTTCCCTCCCGCGTTGTCTGGGGGCGCGGTCCGCCACCCCATAGTGGGGCTCGGTCTGCGGGCCGTCCTTCCAGGCGGCCTGCTTCCTGGCTTCTCAGGTGCCGGTCACATGGGGCGAAGGGGGACCTCAGCGGCATGGTCTGAGGGGTTGGTGGGTGTGTCTGCCTGTGCGACCCTGTGCAGGTGGGGCCTCCTGCAGTTCAGGGAGAGGGCTGGGTGGGCGTTGACACCTGGGAAGCCCCCAGGCTCACCGGTGAGTGCGGGAACACACACTCGTCTCGGCTCACTCTCCAGCCCTGCGGCGGTCTGGGCTCGCTGGTGCAGTAAGGTCCTCGGTTTGGAAGCTGTAGACTGCGTGGGGGGCAGGGCCTCCCTGAGGGGGAGCAGCCTGCCCAGCCAAGGGGCTGGTGTGCAGGGCATGCGCCCTGGGGCCCCCAGCGGGGCTGGTTGTATCCAGCAGGGGTCCGCCCACGGGAGGGGCTGGGGCCAGCTGGCAGGAATGGGGCGCAGAGCGAGGGGGGCCCTGGGCCAGTTTCTAGCGAGGACGGGACTGGGGGCTTGGAGAGGCCTGGGCACACCCACTCCCACCTAAGCAGGGAGCCCCGGGAGTGGGCCCTGAGTTCTGGGCACTGCACCCCACATGGCCGAGAATCGGCTCCGGCGTGTCCCCGAGTTGACTGGGGACTGGTGGGCTGGCGGGCTGGTGGGCCTTCCTCCCTCCCGGTCTCTAGGACTTGCACTGGAAGTTGCTGCCTGCAGTTTCTCCTTTAGAAAACCTTCGTCCAGCAGGGGGCGGGCTGGCCACGAAAAGGCCCCCAGCCACACCCGCCACCCTGAGCTCTGTCCCTCCCGCCCTCGCTAGACGTGCCTGAGAAGTTGGGTTTTGAAAACCTGCGAGATGGTTCTGCACACGACCCCACGGGCACGGCTCCCGGCCCAGCCGGGCCTGCTCGCTGTGGAGGCCACAGGGCAGCCACCGCTGTCGGCGGGGCCCTGAGCCGCTGTCCTCCTCGGGCAGCGTGTGGCCCCGGGGCTTGTCTTGTTCCGCTGGGTCCTGAGTGTCACGGGAATTCCAGGGTGGGAGGAGGGAACCTGCAGGCAGTGGGACGGACCTGGCCGGCGACCCCGGCCCCGCCTTGACCGCCAGCCTCTCCCCCCTAGTCATCCTGGCCAAGTACGGCCTGGACGGCAGGAAGGACGCCCGGGCGCTCAGCAGCAACTCCCTCAACGACGGGACCGAGCAGGACAGCTTGGAGGACCCCCGGCTGGAGAAACTGTGGCACAAGGTACCCCGATGCTTCCTGCGGACCCCGAGATGCGTGCCCTTGTGTCGAGAATTGGGGGTCACCTGCCTTTGGAGCTGCCCAGCAGCCACGCACAGGGGGTGGGGGTGCATAGCGCACGCCGCTGCTGGGGCTGCAGAGCCAGGCAGTGGTGGGGCACTCGCCTCGCTGCCCGCCGTCCGCCGGCTCCTGTCCGGGATGCTTTGTCGGGGCCACGTTGCGAGAGGTCAGGAGTGGGAGCTCTCCCACCGGCCTGTTGCCTCAGTCTCAGGGGCGGGGAGGGTCGGGCCCATGGGGGAAGGGGCTCCCTGTAGCCCCCAGGCTGAGCCTGGGGCCTGCGTTAACCCACGCTGCCCTGGGGCCCACGGGCAGGTAGGGCGCCCGAGGCGTGGACAGGTGAGCCCGGCCCGCAGCGGGCTCACTCGGCCGCCCCCTCCCCGCCCGCCGCAGGCACAGACCTCGGGGAAGTTCTCCAGGGAAGAGCTGGACAAGCTCTGGCGGGAGTTCCAGCACCACAGGGAGAAGGTCCGGGAGTACAACGTCCTGCTGGAGGCCCTGAGCAGGACGGAAGGTGCCTCCCCGCCCCCGCCCCGCCCCGTGGGTGGCTCTGGCTCCAGAAGGGGCTGTTGGGGGACACCGTGTGGGGGCCTCGTCTGCCCGCCCCCTTTTCTGGGGGGGTAGCGCCATGCAGGATCCCACCCGTCAGGGTGCCTTCGGCAGGCGCAGGTGCGTTAGTCAGACGGGGCGCTGCTTCAGGGCTTGCCACCGCCCGCTGCTCCCACGGACACCTCGTTCTGGCCGTGTGACCGCTGATGGCACCATTGTCTGGTCTCAGGACCCACCCCAGTCACGGGCTCCGACCCTCAGAAAGCCGACAGGCACCCAGGGGGGCCGGGTGGGCTCAGCGGGGCGGCCTCGGGCTCTTGGTGCGCTGACGTCCCGGAAAGGGCCGCATGAGAGCGAGGGCTCCCGGGTCCGCCCCTCTCGGAGGAAGGGGCTGGGAGAGGGACCCTCTAGCAACCTTGGGGCCCGTGGAAGGAGGGACACTGCAGCCAGACACGAGAGGACGTGTGGCCCCCGGTGACGCAGGGCTGGCGCCCCCCAGAGCTCCAGGAGAACGCCATCAGCCCGTCGGACATGAGCCGCGGGCAGGAGGAGGCCGGGCTGCACAGCAGGCACGCGGAGCTCCGGGACCGGCTGCGGGGCATCGACCAGGGCTACGACCGCCTGCGGAGGGTCAGCCACCAGGGCTACGGCGCCGGGGCCGGTGAGCGCGGGCGCGCGGCGGGCCGGGCTGCTCTCGGGCTCCGCTCTCCAGGAGTGCCACACGGCCAGGTGCTCGGCCTCCCCGCGCCCCTCGCATCTGTCGGGACAGCTGGTCACACTGGCCACAGCACCGCGTGCGGCGGCTCGTCTGCACCCACGCGTCCTTCTCGAGTCCCAAGCCCACTGCTCACCCGGGACCCGCCAGCAGGAGGCCTGGGAGGGGGCCGGTGTTCGGGACCCCCGCCTTCCGGCAGGTCCCGCGAGCTGCGGATTGAGGGCCCATGGGGAGGATGCCCCTTTGCTTCCCAAGGACGCTGCACGACACACACCCACCCACCCACATGTCTGCACATGCTCACACGCACAGGAGGCGCCTCCCGGGGCCTGTAGGAGGCCCCGCGAGTCTGAGGCCACCCCTCCCTCTCTCCGCCAGAGTTCGAGGAGCCCCGGGTGCTGGACCTGTGGGACCTGGCCCGGGCCTCCAACTTCACGGAGAAGGAGCTGGAGGCCTTGCGGGTAAGGACGGCGCCCAGCTGTGCCCCACGCGCCTGCCCGGTGGGAGCTTGTGCTGTCGCTGCTTTCCCTCCCTCTCCGCTGGGTGGCGGGCCTGCAGGGGAGGGGCTCTGGGCCGCAGGAGCCCGTGGGTGACTCAGCCGCCCGCGACGCCCCGCCAGGAGGAGCTGAAGCACTTCGAGGTGAAGGTCGAGAAGCACAGCCACTTCCAGAAGCAGCTGGAGATCTCGCACCAGAAGCTGAAGCACGTGGAGCGGCTGGGCGACCCGGAGCACGTCAGCCGCAACCGGGAGCGCTACGCCCTGCTGGAGGAGAAGACCAAGGAGCTGGGCTACAAGGTGGGTGCCCCGCCCCTGGACACAGCCTGCGGCCTCAGGCCCCGCCCCCAGCCCACGTGGGTGCCCGGCTTCCGGGTCTGAGCCTCGGTTTCCCCTGCGGAGGGGCGGGACCTCGGGCGTGCAGCCTTGCTCCTGCATGGACACTGCGCAGGCTGCCCTGGTGAGGGCGGGTGGGCGGGCAGGGCCGGAGCCGGTAATCCTGGCCCTGAACATGGGTGGCTGGTCAGTGGTCCCGAAGGTCCTCAGCCACTGGGTATCTCCAGAGCGCACGCAGGCCACTGCGCCCTGAGGGTCTGCCCCGTGTTTGGGGGAGTGGGGGGGCCCACACTGGGCCGCGGAGGGGGTGGGGACCCACTGAAGGCTGGAGCAAGCGGCCCCAGGCCAGCTGCCACCCTCCTGTGGGGCCTCTGGTCAGGGCGTGTGGGGTGGGCGCTGTCCGAGAGCCAAGAGGTGAGGGGCCTTTGTCCAGAGAGCCTGTGGTGCGGGTCTGGTGGGGAGGGCACGGTGCACGCGGGGGCCGGCGCAGGGGTGGCACAGGGTGTCCCCAGCGGGGCCGGTGGACTGGCCTCTGCAGGGCTGGGGCAGCGGGTGGGCGGGGGGTGGCCTCGCCAGCCCCTGGAGCGGCAGGGGTGAGGCCCTGCGGGAGCACATGGCCGTGCAGACTGCGCCTGCTCCTGGCTGAGTGTGTGGGGGAAGCCGAGTGCCGCGGCGCCTGCGCAGTCGACTCCAAAAGGGGCATCGGAACTCGAGGGCTCACAGGCGGGCAGGTTCGCCCGGCGCAGGCCGACGGGTGTGAGCGAGCGGGAAAGCCCGCGTGGGGGCCAGGAAGTGCGTGGACAGACTCTCGTTCCTGGGACCCATGGGAGCCTGGGGGCAGCTGCCTCCCAGCCGGCAGGTTCCGGGAGGAGTAGGCAGGGGCCGCCAGGGGTGCCGGGCCGGTGGCAGGACCACCGACGGGCCCTGGCGAGCAGCTCCTCTCGAGCTCTCTGGCGGTGTCCCGGCCACGGCCACGCTGCGTCGGTGACTGGGCTTTGGCGGTTTCTGGGAGTGGAGAACTGGAAGGCGGCAGGGCCGCGCGGTGACCCCGTGTGGCCGGGACGCGGGTCCGGGCCGGCCGTCTGTCCCTCTCTCCAGGTGAAGAAGCACCTGCAGGACCTGTCCAGCCGGATCTCGAGAGCGCGCCACAACGAGCTCTGACCCCCGGCCGGGGCCGCACTGCCGGGGGCGTCTGCGTGAACGGGGCGGCGGGAGGCTGCGGCGGCGGCGGACCGGTGTCCTCTGGCCGCAGCAGCGCGGTTTGCGCCTGGATCGTGCCGCCGCAGGTGCCGCGCCCTGAGGTCCTGCGCTGTCCCCACGTGTGATTCCCGAGGTCAGCGCCCCGGTGCCGCCTCCGCGGCTGTCCTCGTCTCGTCCCGCCTCTGCCTCCTCCCAGCGTCTCTGTGGCCGGCCCTCGGGCCCCTGGGCCCCCACCCGGCTGAAGGGCCTCCGGCCTCCCCCCACCCCAAACGGGCTCGGCGCTCAGGCCAGCTTGGGGGGGGGCTTATCCCCCCCGCCGCCTCAAGGAGCCTGCAGGCCCCCGTCTGGCGGGAGTGCCAACCATCACCCAGGACGGGGCTGTGACCACACGGCAGCTGGCATGGGGCAGCCGACGCTGCTCCCGGGTTTGAACCCGGAGGGCCTGACCCGTCAGGACCAAGTAGCTGCACTGCGGCCTGGGAAGCCCGTGCCCACTCATCTGGGGGACGGGGGCCAGGGGCCGCCTGCTGGGGCTTGTGTGCCCGGGTGCCATGCGTGGGCGCGGGCGGGGGCCACTGCCCGAGGCGGGGGTCTCATGCAGACCTGGGCCTCCACTGACCCCCGGGTCTGGGTGGGCTGCGGGTTTGTCTCCCCTGCGGCCTCGCGCCCCCTGCTCGTCCTGCAGACTGGCCTCATTCTGGCACCAGACAGGCCTGGTGGGCTCAGGAGCACAGGGGTGCAGGCGCGGGGTCTCTGCCACGGACCGGCTGCTCGGGGGCCTCTCGCGTCTCCACATCCGTCTGGGAACCTGCTGCTGCGCTCTGACAGGGAAGCCAAGCCCACTGGGTTGTCTGCAGGGCTGCCCTAGACCGGCTGGTCCCTCCATGGAGCCGACCGCACAGCAGCCCCGGGTCCCCCGCCCGGCCCAGTCAGGCCGCCCCCCCACCCCCCCCCCGGGAGCCTGGGCACCGTGTGCAGCTGCAGACAGCAGGCTTCGTTCCGTCTCTGGTTCGTCTCCTCCGGGTCCTCACGCCCTGTCCCCTCGGGCCCCCTGTCGGTGGTCCAGCCTCGCCATCAGCACGACAGCCCCCCTCCCCCGCCCCCACCGAGAGAGGGGACAGCGGCGCGGGCACATGGCCGCGTCTGCCACAGCCCCCTCAGGTCACCTCCGCAGCGGCCAGCCCTGCCGCTGGCGCCATGCGGGCCTGGAGTCTCCCTTGTGCCGAGTCTTTGGGTGAAGAACGCAGATTTAAAAATAGATATGGGCTGTTCAGAGTTTCTGGTTCTCGTGTCTTTATTTTAAGGATACTTATAAAGAAATTTCACTTTTGTCAAAATAATGGGCATGGAGTTGACACCGTGCCCTCCCTGAGGTCTGTGACTGGACAGTGACACCGCCTCTCTCCCGAGGTGCGAAGGTGGTGGCGTGGGTGTCTGGGCCCCCCACCGGAGGGGCCTGGTGCGCTGCAGCCCTGGGCCGGGGCACGCTGGCCATGCCTTGCCCCCCGCTTGCAGCTTAAAAGGAGAGCCCTGTACCTTTGAACTGTGTCCAGGGCTGGGGGCAGAGCCTTCTCAGCCCTGGACCTCACTTGTTTGCTGGCACAGCCCCAGGGCCCTGCCACCCCACCCCAGGGCTCAGGGCCGAGCCTGCTGCCGCCCCCTGGACCCCCAGCTCAGAAGCTGGTGCAGGCGAGGGAGGCTGCTGTCCTGGCCCAGCACCACCGCTCCACCACACGCAGCTGTCCGCCATGGGAGCGCGGGCCACTCAGCGAGGGGCCCCCTTCCTCCGGGGCTCCAGCTCGGCCAGCCGCTCCTCTCGTGCCTGTGCGTGCTGCGTGCCCGCCCTGTGGGCCGCCGCGGTGGCCGCAAGGTCGATCTGGGCGTAGTGGGCGGCGCCGGCCCCTGCAAGCAGCCCCGGGTGAGCGGCCCGGTGACCCAGGGGAGCCCCCTCCTCTGCAGAGGCCTCCACTTGCACTGGGGGAGGGCTGGGGGTCTGCCCATGCCACCCACCCAGCAGGACCTGAGGTCCCCAAGGTGCCCACCCCTGTAGGCTCTGCGGGGACCTACCTCGGACCCCAACGCTGGCCTCTGGGAGCCCCAGGCCCAGGTAGTGCAGCTGTGTCCTGGGGGAGGGGCTGGCGGGGATGTTCACGTAGGTGGGCGCCTCGCTGATGGGCCTCTCGGGCCCCAGGGCCCCTACGAGGACGGGGCTGTGAGTCCCCAGGGGTGGCTGGGAGCCTGCTGACCCCAGGACTGCGCAGCCAGTGCCCCCCATCCACCCCTCCTGCTCTCGCCGCCACTTCTGCAGGGCTTTGGGGGCTACTTCCGTTTCCCTGGTCTGCCTCTGCCTACCCTGAGACAGTCCCCCCACCACCGAGCACACACCTCCCCTCTGCTGTGGGCGACCCCCAGGGCCCTCTCTCTGCTGGCTCCAGCCCTGCTGCCTGCCGCCGACCTCGACCACCCCTCCCAGCCGCTTTCTCATCGGGGCCCTGGTGTCCTGCTCCTCCCAGGCCTGAGTGCAGGGCCACATGCACATCACAGTGCCGCCCCCTCCTCGGTGTCCCCCCAGCACGTCAGGCCCCTCCCCCGTCCCAGGAACTGCTCAGTGGGGTCCAGGCTGGGCCTCCACAGCAGGCTCCCGCCAGCCCTTGGCTACAGGCAGGACCCACCCAAAGGGGACCAGGTGCCGGTCCCAGCAGCACCCCCTCCTGCCCTCGGGCCCTCTCCGGCACAGGTTTCCCGGCTGGGCTGTCACCCTGGCCTCCGTGACCCCCGCCCCCCACCCCGTGTGTGTGCAGGAGCCGGTCCGGAAGCCAAGCCTACCTGAAGGCGCCGGGAACCCGGGGGGTGAGGCCGCCGCTCCCTAGACCAGAGAGAGCTCGGTCAGCTGTCCATCCGTCTGTCCATCCGTCCCCCGCCTTGCCCCCCGCACCCAGCTGAGGGCCAGGACACTGACCCGGAGGGCAACCCAGGGCGGGATGGGGTTGGCCGCAGGGGAGAGCAGCCCGGGGCCCCGCCCTGTGCGCCCAGCACTCACGCCTGTCCCTGAGCCCTGCCCTGCCGGACCCCATCTGGGGGGGTGGGGAGTCAGGGACGTGGCCCCCATCCACCCGGCCCGTGCTGTAAGGGGCTCTGCTGGCTCGCAGCTGGGCCCCCTGCTGTGCTGGGGCAGGCCAGGCTGTGGCGCACGCACACCCCCCAGGCAGCAGAGCGGCCTGACCAGGGGCCTCTCCCAGGTGCTGAGAGAGCCAGGGGAACCCAGGGGAGGAAGGGACTGTGGTGGCTTCACAGCTGGGGACGCTGACGCCTGGGGACAGAAGGAGGGACGGAGCACCCAGCTCATGGCCGGCACCTATGCTGACCCCAGGACCTCCGTGTCCCAAACCCCCCAGGAGCTGGGCCTCGCGGCCGGACTGGGGGCTGGAACCACGGCGCGGGAGCCCACTCTGCTTCCCAGGAGGGCGCAGGCACTGCCAGGCTCCGAACGAGCGCCCCACCCCCGCCCTGGGCCAGGCTCCTGCGCAAGGGGCTGCTGGGACCCGTCACCTGGTGTGAGGGGCCGGTGAGGGGCCGTGTGCTCTGGGGCGGTGCCCGGGGTCTGCTGACCTTCCACACCCAGGACCAGAGGCCGACGCGCTCCGGGAGCCAGGCCCTTGCGCACCGGCCCCCCTGCCCTCAGGGGCGCCCCCGCACCCCACAGACGGCACCTGCTTCCAGGGCCAGCCCCGCAGGTGCGAGACACCACGGGTGTCTGGAAATGAGCAGACGCAAGGCCGCTGTGTCTCCCTCCCCGGGGGCGGGACTGGGGCAGGGCCAGGCAGGGCCCTGGAGACAGGACTTGCGGACCCGTGGTGGGGGGCGTCTGCCCGCTCAGGCCACCCCCCAGCCCCGGCACTGCGCACCTGAAGGGCCGCTCACCCGGGAGGCCGAGGCCTCTAGGAGCCCCCAGAGGGCCGCAGTGGCCACGCCCACGGAGGGCCCCTCCCTCCCCTGGATGAGGCCTGGTGGTCCACAGCCCGGCCCCGCCCACCGGGTCCTGGGGGCCGCCTCCTGCCGCGGACCGAGGGTGGGAGGCTCTGGCCACCCGGCTCCAGACTTGCCTGCGTCCACCCTCCCACCTTAGCCCCCGGACGGCCGGTCCCTCGAGTCCCAGCCAACCGCCTGCCGCGTCCAAATCCGCCCGCGTGGGGCGGGGCGAGCGGAAGGCGTAGCCCCGCCCTCCATGGCGTCACAGGGCGGGGCAAGTCACTCCGCTCCGCGGGTTCTGGTGGGAGGAACGCCTGCCCCCTCCCCCTCCCCCACCCCGCCCCAGCCCGCAGCCCCGCGTGTTTCCTGTGAGGCTGGCCAGACCCCTCGGGGTGGAGGTGGTGGTGGCGGCCGTGTGTGTGACACGACTCACTCACAGGCCTCTGTGGGGCACTGACTTGACTGACTTGTGTCACCTCGGCAGACCCTCCCCGCGGGCCCACCTGCGGGAGAGGAAACTGAGGCTCAGACTGGTGGCGTGACTTCCTAGGGCCACCCGGCCGGCAGGCGGGCCCCGTGCGGCCCCCGAGCCTGCCTTCCCCACCGGCAGGGATGCAGGGCTCGCCCAGAGGGCTGCAGACAGGGCGACAGGGCGACAGGGCGACAGGGCGGGCCCGGCCCCCCGCACGTGCAGGGAAGACTGGGGGGTCCCCGGAGCCCCGCCACCCGTGGGGCGGACGGCAGAGAGGGCCACCTGGCTCCGAGCCAGCACCCTCACGGGCCCACGGAGCAAGTGTCCACCTCACCTGGACACTGGAGGCCACCTGCCTGAGCCCCAGGGGCCACCGAGGACCTCACTGTGGTCTCCAATAAACACTCAGGAACACGCCACGTGTGCACACATCACACGGACCACACTTGCGTGCATGCACTGGACAGCCACACAGCACACGTGCACACACACACACACACGCGCGCACACGCATGCACGTACTCAAGGTCGTGAGCGCGCGCCAGCCCCGGGCCGCCTGCAGCCCGCCGCTGTCGTCGCCCCGCACGCCGAGGCTTTAGGCCGACCGGCCAGGCACAGCCTCGCGTGGGACATCGGTCTCATCCCGCGGGGAGGGCCGGGGCGGGGGGCCACACGGAACAGAACAAGATGATAAGAAAAGAACGTTTTATTTCCGGTGTAAGGATTTATTACAAACGGTCAGATCTCAACGGTGTGAAAACCACAAACGCCTTCAGCCAGCGGAGAGGGGACGAAGCGGGACAGGGACGGGTGAGCCGCCCGCCCCCACGGGGCTGGTTCCGGAGCGCGGGGCAAAGCCACCCAGAGTCCAGAGCCGACGGCCGCGGCCGCGGCCGCGCTGCTCACGCCGCCTCTCAGACCGCAGCACGAGCGCACAGCGCCAGGCCCCACGGCGGCACTCCATGCAGGCGAGCGGGCAGGCCGCGGAGGGCGCTGGCGGGCCCGGGGGCCACGGCGGTCCCTGGGGCGCGAAGGAGCGGCCTCTGCTTCTGACCCCCAGCCTTCCAGCCCTTTTGCAGTTGGGCCTCCAGCCTCGCCGGCCACTCGGAAGGCAGCCTCAGCCCCTCCCGGGAAAAGGCTGCGTGGGCGGAGCCGGGAGGGCAGAGACCCGCCCCCACAAGTCCCTGGGCCTCCTGAGCCTCAGTTTCCTCCCCACAGGACAGGCCGCCGGTGGGTGTGGCTCGAGGAGGACGGAGGGACAAGCAGCCCCCCGTCCTGCACACAGGGCCGCACAGGGTGGTCCGTCTTGGCTCAAAGTCCCCGGGACTCGGGCGAGTGGCGCCGCTGCGGAGGGATTTAGGTCTAGGGGCGGCGAGGCTGCGGAGCGGCGGAAGCGGGACCGCGGAAGCGGGACCCGGGCTGAGAGGGGAGGGGCCCCCCGGGAGGGCCCAGCGCCCACCCGCGCCTGACACCTGATCCTGGGCCGGGGGCTCAGCGGACCCGCCCACCTGCCCAGAGCCGCCACTTAACAGAAGGCACTTCCAGCTGCACCAAGTCCGTCCCCGCCCCCACCCGATCCTGCGGGTCCACTGGCAGCCCCAGCGCCCTCCTGCAGGCTCCGCCCCCTGGAGGCTGGCCCCCAGGGGCCGCCCCGCCCCCACGCCCCACTAAGCCGCACTGTTGCCGGTGTCACCAAATGCCCAAAGGACGGTCCTCGCGCGTGCCCGTGAGGAGGGGCGCGCCTGCCCTCAGGGAAGGGGGTTTACCTTGAGCCCTCCGCAGGTCGGGCACGTGGAAAAGAAGGCCGGAGGGGGCCCCGCGTGGGGGCCGCCTGCTTCCCAGGGCACTCGGGCGGCCTCGCCGCCCGGGGCCTCCGCCTCCTGTCCCCGCCGCCTCGCACCAGAGGGGCAGCCTGTGGGCGTCTGGCCGCCGGGGTCCCCGGCTGCACTGCCGTCGGGGCCGCCCTGGGCAGCGGGGGTCTGGTCCCTGGGGGCCGGGCGCAGGCTGCGGGGCGTGTCGTAATGGGGCCGCAGGGCGCTGGGCACCTGGTACTCCGCTGTCCCGGGCGGGCAGGCGCACAGGCTGGGCTCGGGCGCCCCCGCCGCCGGTGGCAGGCTGAGCAGCGAGCCGAGCTCATCGCCGCCGCGCCACACGTCCAGGCTGCTCCCGGCGCAGGAGGAGAAGCTGCCCGAGTAGGAGGAGTGGCTGCCCGTGGCGATGCCGCTGTCCGAGGAGCTCTGGCGGCCCACCTCCTGCAGCTGCCGCGGCCTCGGCGGCTTGGGAGGCGGCCGAGAGGCGCCCAGCACGGCCTCCCCCGGGGCCTGGGCCGCCGCCAGCCCGGGCCCCTCCTGCGACGTGCTGGCCGAGGACGAGGACTGCTCTGGCCAGGCGGCGAGCCGACTGCTGGCGCTGACGTCCGAGTGGCTGGCTTCTGACGACGAGCTGGACAGGCTGCGGTCGTCCCCTGGGGTGGACAGGGGGCGCTGAGGCTGGGGGGAGCCCTGGGGTGGGGAGGGGGCCCTGAGACTGCGGGGGGGGGGGCCCTGGGGTGGGACGGGCTTGGTGGGGGCTGACATCTAGTGCATCTCCCGGCCCCACTCCCCTCACCCTGGGCCAGAGCCAGCACGGAGCTGCACCCTGGGCCTGTGTGTCTGGGCACCCATGGGGGAGCCCCCTCGGGCGGTGGCCTCGTCCAGTGGGTGGGAAGCCCCCCCCCCCCGCGTCCCTCCTGTCCTGCCCAGGCCAGCACCTAGTGTGCCTGGCTCCGCCCATCCGGGAGGCGTGAATAAGCAGGATGGAGAGGACTGAGTGAATGAAGGCCCGGAGGGCGGCCCCGCCCCCACCCTGAGCCCCGCCCCCACCGCCCGCAGGCCCCACCTCCGCTGCCGGGCCGGCCGAGGTGGGAGAGGAGGCTGAGCCGCTTCTCCAGCTGCAGCGCTTCCAGGGCTTCCTGGGCCACTCGCTCCTCGGCGGCGGCGGGTCCCCCGGGGCTGGGGTCTGCAGCAGAGAGGAATCACCAGAGGCAGCCCCGGCCCCCTCCCGGCAGCCACTCAGCCACAGCCCCCGTGCTGCCCGGGACGTCATGTAGGGCCAGCCTGGTGTGTCCCCAACCCACGGCAGGGCAACAGGTGTCCACCCCGCCCCGGGAGCCCACTGTCCGCACCCTGTGCTCAAGCCACACAGGCTTGCAAGGAGGGACAGCGCCAGCAGAGGGCGCTGCCACGCCAGCCACCAGAGCTGGCCCGGAGGCTCCGGCGCAGAGGCTGGAAGACAGCACCCGGCCACGAGCAGGGGACGGGAAGGCTCGCCCCGCCCCCCGCCACCAGTCTGGGGGCCAGGGCTGCTCAGAAGGTCTGCAGGAGCCCCGCCCAGGGCTGGGGTCCCTGGCTGACCCCCACCCGGTTGACCACTTCTGATCGGCACGACCGTCCCAACCAGAAGTGGTGGCCTGGGCGCCCCAACAGCTCAGGCCTGTGGAGGAAGGCCGATGTCCCCAGGAGCCCAGCTGGGCGGACGCCGAGGGCCCCCTGCCACGCCGTGCTACCCACGCACCTGGGAGAACCGGCCGCAGCCCAAAAGGGCCCTTGGTCGGGGAGATGCCGCGAACGATGCAGTCGAACAGGAAGCTGATCTGCTCGCCCTCCGCGGAGGACAGGAAGAAGACCCCGGCCCCTGCGGGGGACAGCCTGTCAGCCTGGCCGGAGCCTGGGGGCCGGGGCTCCCTGCGGCCCCGCCCATCTCCGAGCTCACTGAGGGACAGGGGGCAGGGCAGCCCAGAGCCGGCCCACCCTCCCGGGAGGGTGGCTGTGAGACCGTCACCCTGTGGGGGGCCCCGTGCCCAGGGCTGTGACGAGTGCTGACTGTGGTGCTGGTGAGACTGCAGCCAGGACGCCCGCCCCGCAAAGAAGCGGCCGCCCTGCCTAGGCCAGCCAGTGCCCCGCCCCCAGGCCAGCCAGCGCCCCGCCCCCAGTGTTTTCAGGTGGGAAACAGGAGCCCTGGGGTCAGGGTGCAAGCGGAGCTGGCGCCCTGGGACTCCCTCTCAGCAAAGGAAGGGGCTCGGGCGGCGGGCACCCGGGGCCTGCACGCCCAGGGGTGCCAGGGCGGAGGGCAGGCTGGGTGAGTCCGCGGGGCGCCCCCCCGCCCTGCCGCTGGGCCCGCGGCCCCGCCAGGGTGAATGAAATCCCTCACCGCCAGTGAATGGGGACACCGGGCCACGTGGGTTTGGGCCGGCGGAGCGGCCTCACCACCCAGGAATGCCTTCGGCTCTCGCCCTCGGCCTGTTGCCCAAAGAAAGGCACGTGCTCTCCCGGGGGGGGCGGTCCCTGCGCGCCATGTGGGCAGGCGTGGGACCGGAAGCTCCACTCCAGAGCCTCTGCTGCCATCAGGGTCTCCACCCTCGCAGGGCCGGAGAGCCGGCTCCCCCCACCACCCCGATAACGCCACTGTGCCCCTCGGTAGCCCCCCAGATGCGAGGGCAGTGCACACCCTTCGGTGGCTGGAGCTTCCCCCACGCAACACCCCCAAAACGGTGACCCAACTGCCGTAGAGACAAAGAAACTTAGGCGGAGAGAAGGGCCCCCCCCCAGGGGCCCCCAAGAGGCCCGGCGGGCAGCCCTCCCAGGCAAGGCGAGCTGGCAGAGCACTGTCCCCCCTCGGCCGGACGGCAGGCAAGGGGGAGGCCCCACCACACCGGCCGGCCGCCGCCCACCCCGCCCTCCCGGGCCGGCCTCTAATCCCCAGCTCCCGGGCACCTGGCAGACGCCCGGGCACAAGCAGTCCCCCGACTATAAAAAACCACATTACGAGGGGACTGGAGCCGGCGGCATTCCGCCGGGGCGTCTGCCCCGCGTCACGCTCCTGAAGATGCGGCGGTTGGTGAGGCCTGGGGACGTGGCCACAGCCCCCACCCCAGCTGGCAGCGGCTCCCCGGGGAGGGCACCCGGCTCAGAGGGCCGGACTGCCTGAGCCTCGTGACGGGGCCGCCTGGGACGCGGCTCCCCGACCTCTTGCCAGCCCTCCGTGGGTTCCAGCCTCACGCTGCCCTCGGGCTCCGTGGATGGGTTGCTCCTGACCCACGGAAGCTGCTGGAGTGGGAGCAGCCTGGGGGGCTGGGCTTCCCCCTTGTCCCAGGAGGCGGGGCTGGGGCCTGGGGTGTGCTGGTGCCGGGGAGCGGGGGCCCTGCACATGAGGCCGGGCCCTCCAGCACCCTCACTAGGGCCCAGGGACACCCACCCCTGGGGTCCTGGGAGAGCTCGGGGCTTCACTCCCAGGACCGAGCTCCTCGGATCTGGAGGAGAGATGAGGCCCCCATGCGGCCTGGCATGTCCAGAGGGTCCCTCATGGGGCCACAGTGCAGGGGACAGCGTGGGGGACCCTCGGGCTGCGCCCCCGGGCAGACCACGGGCTCCACCGCACTCAGACGGGCAAGTCTGGGTGGCTCTCTGCCTCATTCTCCTCGTCTGTAAAATGGGGGTGATGCACAGAGCTCGTGGGGCTGGCACAGGCACCCCGAACCCCAGTAACGTGGGAGCCCCACAGGGCTTGTCCTGTCCTGTCTCTCCCTGGCCGGTGGCCCTGTGCAACTCTGGTCCCCAGGCCGCCTCCGTGGACACTCGGTCCCAGCCCCGCAGCACAGACCTCAGAGCGCAGGCATGAAACCAACCGGCACCGTCCGAAGGGGCCGCGCGGCCCATTTGCCTGGGCTTTTCGCAGTTCCCTGCTCCTCAGCCTCCCCCACCCTCGGGGGTTCCTGCCCCCGCACAGGGCGCAGTCTGCGCCTCGGGAGCCTGGAGCAGCCTCCCCCCTCTGCCAGCCCCGCCCGCCAGCCGCCTCCAGGCCCCCGAGGACTGAAGACCTGGTGCCCCAGCCCTGCACCCGGGGCCTGGCCCAGAGAAGCCACCGAGCACTTGCTTCCCCTCCCCCGAGTTCCTGGGTCAGGGACGGGGCTTCGGCCCCATGGGGGCCCCCAGCTGGTGGAGGACTGCGTCTAGAAGGGGGCGCCAGAGGGCCCCTCACGGCGGGACAGGCAGTGCACTCCAAGCACAGAGCGGGCTGGCTCGCCCCGGGGCTTCACCCCGTGCTCACTTCAAAGCCCTTCGAGCCCCGGCTGGTGCGGCTCCGTGGGCTGAGCGCCGGCCTTCCAACCAAGGGGTTGCGGGTTTGATTCCCAGTCAGGGCACGTGCCTGGGCTGTAGACTAGGTCGGGGCCCCGGCCCCACCAGGGGGCGCGCAAGAAGCACCTAGCATTGACGTTTCTCTCCCTCTCTCCTTCCGTTCCCCAAATCTTAAAAAAAAAAAAAAAAAATCCGGTGTCTGCAAGGATCCGGGATCCGCGGCCTCGGAGGAGAACTACCCAGCGGGCCAGCGGGCCCTACTGCGTAACGCCTGGGGCAAACATAGCGCGTATCCAAGGAAGCGGGTGCCCTGCAGCGGGGCGCAGGCCAGAGCCACAGGCGCCACAGCCCAGGGCTCAGGTGCAATGGCTCCGTCCGCCCAGAGGAACGAGGCAGGGCCAGGCCCAGGAGCCCCGCAGACCCCGTGCATCGCGGCCGCAGCCCCTGAGCTAAGTCCTCGCCCTCCTGGTCCCCACTGGAGGCCGCCCGGGGCGCGGCTCCCACCAGGCCCCATCTGCATCTCGAACGGAGAGCAGCGGGCGGCGGCGGCGGAACAGCGCCCCCTCCCGGCCGGCGCAACCTGCCCGTGCGCTTCCGCGGCCCGACGGTGGCTCCCGCGGGTGGCCGGGCCTCGCGCCCTGTCCGAGCTCACCTCCTCTCGCCCTCCAGCCCTGGAGTGGGGGGCTCACAGGCCAGGACCCGGGCGCCCACGGGCGTCCTTCCACCCACGCACGTGGACACGTTTCAACGAACGTCCTCACACATACGTTTATTCTTTTTTTCCATGAAACCGGAACTCAAGCGGCTCTGACGCCCGCCCGGTGCCCCCGACGCAGGGCCGCGAGTGTGACTAGGAGCTGGGCTCGGAGACCCCGGGCCCTTCCGCACGGCTTCCTGCCGGGGCCCCGCCCCTCGCCCTCCCCTTGCTGGGAGCCCCCCACCCCCAGGGGGAGCACCGGGGTCGGGACTCGCACCCAGCTCCCCCTTGTGAGAGACAGCCCCCAGGCCGAGTCCCTGGGCGCCAGCAAAGCGCGTGCGCGGGGCCCGAGGTCGCGCAGGGACGCGGGAGCGCCTGTGCCCGGGGTTCCCGCGGCCGCGTACTTACAGTACCCACACCTGGTCCCGCCTTCAAAGATGAACCCGTTGGGCACGGCCCCGTAGCGCCGGAGGTCGGACAGCTTCCACTGGCCCGTGACGACGGGAGGGACGTCTCGGGCCACGACTAGGATGTCGTTGCAGAGGTGGAGGGTGGCAGGGCCGCTCTCCAGCTTGGTGCCTGGGGCCACCGTCACGTGGAACCTGTGCACTGAGGGGCAGGCGGGGCGAGAGGGCAGTCACCGGGCATGGGGGCGGGGCGGGGAGGGCAGGGCGCTGCCCAGGCCCCAGCGGCTGCTCTGGCTGCGCCTGTGCCTCAAGGGCGGGCTGGTCCTCGGAGGGGCTTCCCCCGCCATGCCCCCCACCCCCGGCCGCAGCTGGATGAGACCCCAGCGAGCCCTGGCGCCCGTGGTGAAAACAGCCTGCACGGGGTCCTGGCACACAGAGCGCCTCCCCTCAGGAACGGCTGCTGCGGCAGCCGCGTGGCCCTGTCTCAGAGACCGGGGACACTGAGGCTCAGGGAGGCCCGGAGCCTGGCTACAGGGGCGCTCCAGAAACCATGGGTCCCCCACCCCTGGGGCCAAGCACAACCCACTTGCTCCTGGAGGCCGAGCCCCCGTCTCAGCCTGGTCCTCAGCCCCTGCAGCCCCTACAAGGAGGCCACTGTGACCTGTGTCCCCAGACCGCTTCACCTCGGACAGCAGTGCCCACCTGGGGTGACGGGCCCCCAGAGTAGGTGGCAGCCAGCCCTCCTGACCCCGCCTCAGCTCCAACCCTCCTCCTCCTCTTCCTCCTCCTCCTCCTCCTCCTGGGAGCCCCAAGGCTGGAAGACGGGGGCCCACAGGGGCCCCACCCCGGCCCATAAGACAAAAGGGGGTGGAGCCTCTGACCCCGGTGAGCTGGCAGGAACCCCCAGCAGGGGACCCCTCTCCCCCGTGTCTTCTCGCCAGGCCTCCGCAGACCCCCTACCCTCAGCACCCCGCCTGGGGGCCCCAGGTGGGGCAGGGGGCCACTGTTCCCACGGGATAGGGTTGAAAGCAACGGGGCCCCATCCTCTCCCTCCCCTCCGTGGACGCCCTGCCCACCCCCCGACCCCAGGACAGCTGCTCCTCGCCCTGGCCCGGGGCTCCAGTGGCCCCGGTGAGGGAGCAAAGGCCGCACTTTGGAAGGCCCCACCGCTCAGACGTCCATCCCCTCGGGTTAAAGGCCCGAGTGCTAACTGATGGGGTCAACTTAGGAGGCTGGAAAGGCCCAGCGTTCCCCCACCCCCACCCAGCCTCACACTCCTAGACTGGGGGCCCTGAGCTCAGGCCCCGGGCCGGGGGCCGAGCAGACACCGCAGCTCGGTGGCCTGGGGTCGGGCCACGGCCTCTGCAGCCCCCCCCCCGTGGGTGGGGCCCCGGGGCACCCCCGCCCAGCCCCGCGCCCCGCGCCACTCACCCTTGCCCAGCGCGCAGCGGATCCGGGCGTCCCAGGCGCACATGGCCTCGTGGCTGTCGAAGCCCAGCATGACCGCCTGCGGCAGGCAGACGACCGCCAGCGTGTGGGCCAGGCCCTCGTAGGGCAGCCCCGGCTCCAGGCCGCAGATGCGCTCCAGCGTCTGGCTGCCGCGCTCCGGCAGGCCCCGGGCGCGCTCCGACCGGTCCTTGTAGACCAGCATCAGCAGGCAGTCTGGGGGCGCGGACCGGACAGGCGCGGGCCGTCAGGGGCGCCGGCCGGCGCGGCTGCCACCCGGGTGCCCAGAACCTCGCCGCCCCCCCCCCCGAGAGTCCCGGGTTCGAGAGGCAGCCCCGAGCATGTCACCCAGCCACTCTGAGCCTCCGTCTCCTCAACCACAGAATGTCACCCCCACCCTGCACGGCCCACGGAGACAGAGGACCCCAAACACTCCGGGGCTGGCCTGCCCCTGGCGAGCACGTCACCCGGCCCCACCCTGCAGCCGAGGGGGTCGCACTAGCAGGGGCTGCGGGACGTGCCGTGGGTGGCTCGGGGGGCGCCCTTGCAGCCACCACCCCTGCGGACCTCTGGGTCTCCGGTCCAGGGGCCGCTGGTCCGGAACCCACACAGGCCCCGTCTCTTCCACAGCTGCGGGGGCTCTGTCCTCGTCACCCCCAGCAGAGCAAGCAGCTGCTTGGCGGGCAGGGCTGGGGATGCGTTCTCAGCGCGCTGCCCTCGGTCCGTGGGGCCCCAGGCAAATCCTGCCTGGAGCACGGCCCCCGCCCCAGGCCCAGGCTGCAGTGCAGGAGCAGCGTCTCGGGTTGACAGGTTGCAGGGACGCGCAGGACGCCATGGGGAAGCTGGGGACGTGGGGGGACCCCGGGTCCCACAGCCGCACCAGCACCGTCCCCTGCCCTTCCCCTCCGGCAGTAAATGGGCCCCGTTTTTAAAAGCTGTTCTGGGGATGCTTTCTAGTGCAAAGCTGCTGTAGGACCTGGTGACAGGGAAACGGAAATTTTCAGTCAGGGGCCCGAGACCTGTCGGGAAGAGGGCAGTCCTCGAGGGCGGGGGTGGGGGAGGGTGGCACCTGCCCCCAGGAAGTCCTGCGGGACTGGCCCCTGGGGAGGCTCTCCTGGGCAGGACGGAGACCACGCCGCCCGGCTGTGGGGCTCCTCTCCTGTCCCCGCGGGCCCTGGGTCCCGAGAGGGACCAGCCGCGCTAATCACCGCAGCGACCCGGGGCCGAAGGGCACAGGCCGCTGCAGCCTGGCCCGGGCTCCGGGGGCACAATGTCCGTGGGGCCTGAGGGGGGCTGCAGGGGGCTGGGGTCGCCACGGAGAGAGGAGGCCCAGATGACGACGACGAGGGGGGGCGAGGAGACGCCCGGGGGGTGAGCACTCCCATGCACACACCCACACCGGGCTCCGGACACACAGTCCTCGGCTCTCGGAGCCTCTGCGGTCGGTGTGCGGAGTGGGCGTGCCCTCCTCCGGGGTCCAGGCGCTGCCCGGCCGGCCCGGCACCCGATGCCACACCACAGTGAGCACGGTGGCACCAGCCGGGAGCCTCGGCCAGCACCTGGGGGGCAGCCTTGGGTCCCCGACCCCAGGAAGGATGCAGCTCGGGCTGCCCCAGCCCTGCAGGGAGGGAGGGGAGAAGGGCAAACGTCCTGCATAGGGCCCAGCGCCCTCTGGGGACCGCTGGGAGCCCCCTTGCTGGGGCCCTTGGGGCCCCCACTTCCGGCTCTGCCCCGCTGCCGCCCCTCCCCCAGCCCTCACTCTGCTCATGGGCAACCCGGGGCCCAGGCGGCACAGCCCAGCGGTCGGACTCTGCAGCGGGACGCCAGGGGGGAAGCCTTGGGAAAGCGTGACTTGGGCAGTGGGGACAGGCCCTGGTGACCAGGAGGGGCTGTGCCTGAGGGCAAGGTCAGAGACAGACTTCGAAGTCCACCTGCCAGGTGACGAGAGGAGCCAGCCTGGCAGGGCACAGCACTGTGCTAGCGGACAGCCAGTGCAAAGGCCCCGGGGGCCAGGGGCCGGAGGGCGGGGCGGGGCTGGCAGAGGGGGAGAGAGAGTGGTCCCAAGTCAGGAGTTCAGGTCAGGCGGGCCTGGGGGTCGGCCAAGAGCCTCATCCCATTGCCCCAGGGCACCCGGGGGCTCTGAGCAAAGGGGCCTGGCCTGGCTGTGTCCAGAGAAGGGACAGGGACATGGGTAACCACGCTGAAGACCTGCAGCTTCCTGCAGCTGTTGGGGAAGAGGTGCCGCTGGCCCGGGCCAGCCTGCGGCCATCATGGTGATGCAGAGGGAGCTGGGCTCCCGGGACCTCCAGGGTGGGGGATGGGGGATGGGGGACGAGGGAGAGGAAGAGGGAGGGGATGCTGGAGCCGGGGGAGAGGGTGTAGGGTTGGGGTGATGCCCTGACACGTGAGCCTGAGCTCGGCCTGCAGGGCACCGGTGGCTCGAGCGGCAGCTGGATGTAAAAATAACCGGGGAGTCATGAGCCCTCGAAGGCGCTCACAGCCGGCTGTGGGGGGGGGGGGGGGGGGTGCACCTCCGGGCTCCCTGTGGGGGACGGGCCGCGAGGACGGCTGGCCGGCCGGCTGGGGATGCAGACTCACACCCACGTGGCCGCGGTGGGGCCCGGGGCAGAGGCCGGAGAGCGGCAGCTAGACTCGGCCCTAAGAGGTCACAGCGACCTTGAGGCAGAGTCTTCAGGAGAGAGGCCAGCAGGAGCCGGAGGGGCCCTGCGGATGGCGCGGGCAGCCGGTGGGGGCGGGGCGGGGCAGCCCCAAGCAGCTGGGGGTGCGGGACCTCCGGGCAGGCCGGCGTGCAGGGCCTCAGGCTGCAGCCAGGAGGCACCCGCCCGTCTGACGTGCAGGCGTTTCACAGCGTGTGCCTGGGGCACCTGGGGGGCCCGGTGGTCGGCGGGGGCCCACAGGGTCTGGGTGTCCGGCCCCCTCACCCGTCCCCCATGGGCCGGACGAGCACCGGTCCAGGGCGCACAGGGCGCGGGGACAGAGCTGGGACCTGAGCCGAGAGCTCCAGGGGTTCTCCTTGTGCAAGGGCTCCACGGGGACAGGAGGGGCCACCACCGACACCCACCTGGGACTCAGACAGCACACCCATTCCCACGGGACCCAGGTAATCCCGAGCCAGGAGGTGCCCCCTGGAGGGAGACCCTGCCCATCACCACCCCGGGACCCCCGTCCTTTAGGGACACGCCCAGCTCAGCAGAGCTGCCAGCCGCGTGGGGGGGGCAGGTGCCCCGAGGCCCCGCTCCCGGGCAGACTGAGCGCGCAGCCCGGGGTTGGTGGGGACGGCGGGTGGGCTCCCAGCACCTCACCCGGCAGGTCCCAACCCTGCCAGGCTGCCTGCGGGGTAGTTCTGCTCTGGAGGACCCCCGCCCTGAGTGCTGGCCTGGGGGAGACAGGGCAGGCGCTCCTGCGGGGCTGGCCCTGCAGCCTGTCCCGGAGCAGCGGGGGGCTGGGGCGAAAGGCAAGGCCCCGGCTGTTCTCGGGCCCCTGGGTGCCAGCCCTCTGCCCGTAAGAACCCACAAGCCCCCCAGCCCCGGGACTCAGGGTCCCTCCGGGGGCTCTTCTGGGCAGAAGGAAGCCCTGGGGACCCCCTGAGTGTGCTGGGCCGGGAGGGGCAGAGAGGCTGCCCAGGGCCACCAGACATGGGCCGGGACCAGAGACAGGGCCCGGACAGGAGCCCTTTGTCCAGGGCAGAGGTCGAGGCCCCCAGGGACACACACCCGCTGAAGCATCACCAGGCTCGGTGAAGGCACCTCTCTCACTGCCTCGCCCTGACTCCAGGAGGCGCTCCCTCCGGTGGGGGCGAGGCCACCAAGTGACAAGGTGCCCTTGGCCCCCGCTGAGCCCCTGGTGCCCCTGCACTGTCCCCGAGGGCCCTCCCGGGAGGGCGTGACGCAGGAGCGCAGCCTTGGATCTCTGCCTCCAGTCAGGCCCCCAAGGCCGCCACAGTCTGCACGCCCTGACCGTGGGTGGGCTCTGAGCGGACGTCCCACCACTCCCCCCGCCCCCACCTGCCCCTGGCCTGGCAGCTGTGCGCATGCGAGGCCCTGCCCGGGGGCCCCACCCTCTCCCCTCCGACCCAGCCCGGCACCCTGCCTCGGAGGCCGCCCCGCTGCCCCACTGCGCCTGCTGCCTCCACTGCCCCGGGGCAGGCGGGCAGCCCTGGGCCACCTGAGGGCTCCCCGGTGCCGGCACCACCTGTCCCTCCGCCGGGCCTCCCGTGGGGCGGAGCTCACCTGGCAGCCGGCTCTCGGGTGCAGAGCTGAACCCATCGCTCGGTGCACATCACCCCACTCCCCGAGGGAGCAGAGGCTGACCCCGGGCTGCTCTTCCAGGGGCACACCGGTCCCAGAGGGCCGCACAGGCCCCTGCTCCCCGGGGAGCCACCACGCAACACGCAGCCTGCAGGCAGCTTCGCTCCGGCCGCAGCGGGCTGGGCCCTGCACCGGCACCGCAGGCCTCTGCCCCGGGCCTGCCCTGCCCTCCGCCTGGCCACTGCCTCTCTTCCCCCTCTCTGCCAGGGCGCCTCGGTCTCCCCAACCCCCGCCCCCTCGACCAGGCCTCTCTAGACCCCCCAGGACACCGCGCCAGCCTCGGGGCTGGGCCTGAACCACAGTGTGTGTGTGGGGGGGGGGGCGGTGATGAGGCCCCGAGTGCGTGTCTGCGACCTGGAGTGGGCCCTTGTGTCTCCACGGCGGTGAGGAGTCCGGTGCAGGCTCAGCAGGAAGAGCCCAGGAGGGGACCCCAGAGAACAGGGAGGACCCCCTGCCCCCCTCCCTGGGAAACAGCAGGCACCCGGGTGTCTCGGGAGACTCTCTGGCAGGCCCACGCGTGGGAGGCGGCTCGCACCCACACCCTGGCATCCCACGCGACCCCTGGGGCCTGGGCCGGCTCCAGGGCACCTGTCTCCGGGAGCAGCTGCAGCCGCCCAGCGCCCGGCCTCCCGACCGCCTGCGCCCGGGCCCTGGGGGAGGAGAAAGATGCCCAGCCGCGGGCTCCCGGGCCGGCGGGGCCAGTCTCCGCTCCGGCCCCCACACTTCGTTTTCCTCGGGCGCAGAAGCAGCCCTGCTCCTGCCGGCAGCCCGGTCTCTGCTCCACCTGGGGAAGGCGGCGGGGCAGCCGCCCTCCCCCCACACACAGCCAGCCCCGCCCCGACCAACGCTCACTCCAGGAGTGAGTTCCGGCGCCGCGCCACACCACCCCGGGAGCACTGCGCGGGATTGGGGGCGGCCCGGGCTCCCGCGCGCAGGCCGCTCCGGCCGCAGCCCGCCCTCCTGCGAAGGGGGCTCCCGCCCCCGGCCTCTGTCCGCGACCAGGGCCCTGCGCCCCGCCTGCGGGAGGGTCCCGGCGTCCCCGGCAGTCGGAGGCCGAGGCCCGACCGCTCTCCGGTTACAGCCCCGGCGCTGCCGGCTATTTCGGGCTCGCTGGCCGCGCTCCGGCCGGCGCGGCGCAGGAGGCCACCCTCGCCCGCTCCCCCGCGCCCCGCACCCGTCCCGGCCCGGCTCCGGCCCGCGCCCCGCTCACCTGCCACCGGCGACGGCTTGCGCAGCACCAGCCACCTACTCTTCCACTGCGGGGACAGAGGGGCCGTGAGCGGCCGCCCGCGCCCCGCGCCCGCCCCGCGCCCGCCGCGCGCCCCCACCTTCTTGCCGTCCCGCAGCTTGACCTGGCCTTCCACCAGCGCCGCCTCGGTCATCTTCTGTCATGGTTCCCGCGCGCCCGCCGCGCCTCTGCCCGCCGCCCCGCGGCCGCCCCAGCCCAGGGTCACTTTCAAAATAGCTCCGGGAGGGCCCTGGGCTGGGCCAGCGAGGGCGGGCCGCGGGCGGGGCGTCCCGCGAGGTGGGTGCGCTTCCCGCCGCGCCCCTGCGGCCGCGGCGTGCGCAGTCGGCGCCCCAGACCGTCCGTCCGTCCGTCCGTCCGTCCACGGAGCCCCTCCGGCGCCAGCCGCAGCGGGGGCCCAGGGCCGGCTCCGCTGCGCCAGGCTTCTGCTGCTCTTCCACACGCGAAGCAAACAGCCCAACAGAAAGGTCTGCTCCGGAGCCGACCTCTCCAGTTTTCACGTTTGTCTCCAGCCAACCTGGCCTTGGCCTCTGGCACCTGCCCCCCACCCCCCACCACCCAGGGCTGTCAGCAGACACCCCAACAACAGGCTGACTTGGGGACGACTCTGCTCCCAGCCCTCCTCTTCACCCTCGCGCCCCAGGGACGCCCCAGGGCCCAGGCAGGGTGATGGGGGGGTGTGGTCCTGCCTTTGCAGCTCAGCCCCCCCCACCCCACCCCGTGCAGGCTGCCGCTTGCCCGTACCAGAACTCACTCACTGCACACACAGCGCCCCGGGCCCCGTGTCTGGCCTCCTGCAGCCCAGCTGGGCACTGTCCCCCGGAAGCTGGACCCTGCGCCCCCGGCAGCAACGGCCCCCAGGAGCTGTGTGCTCCGTGAGACCCACGGGGTAGCCCCTTCGCAGTGGGGTGCAGGTGGGGTTTCTGAGCGTCTGGGCTTCCCCTCCGCCCTGCAGCTGCAGCCCGGGTGGCCTGGGGACCTCACAGGACCCAGGTGGCCTGGGGACCTCGCAGGGCTGCACCTGGAGCGTCCGGCAGCCCCCAGCTCTAGGGCTCCAGGGGCATCCAAGCAGGTCGGTGGCGCAGAGTGGGGGCAGCACCCCGGAAATCCCGTGGGAGGCACTGTGGCCTCCCGGAGGCCCCCTCCTCTGGGGGTCTCCATTCCGGCAGGGGGAAGGGCGGGGAGATACAGTGCGCGGTGCACCCAAAATCCGCAGGCAGGAAGCCTGCCGCTCCTGGGGCACGTGCGTGGGTCTTCACGCCGCCCAGGCCCTCGGGGCTGCGGCCTGCCACTCGCAGGGGAGGGGAGTGGCACTCGGAGCCACGGGTGCCAGCTCTCACCTCCAGGGCGGATCCACGGCGGCCGAGCCCGGGCCGGAGTCCCAGCTCAGCAGCCCCCGCGCTAGACTCAGAGAGCCAGGTCCACCCGCTCCGCCTGCCCACGGCCCCTGGGGGATCAGAGGGGGCAGGTCCCTGGTGGGCCACGGGCTTGGTTCTGATGCCCTGGGATGTCCTGCCTGGGGCCTAGTGCAGAGCAGGGTCACGCCCAGCCGGGAAGCAGCTCCGTGCCCTGCGCACGGCCTCCCACCCTGCGTCACCTGTGCAGCCCCCAGCTGCCTCCCCGGAGCGGCTGCCCAGCCGCAGGGGCCTATTCATGCTGCCCGCACGCGCGGGCCCCAGGGGCAGCCGGCACGAGGCTGGGTGGCAGCTGGGGGCGGTGGCCTCCAGCACGCCCACCATATCCACCACCCAGGCGCCTGGTGCCTGGCCGCCGCTGCCAGGAGGAAGGATGCCTGCTGCATTCCTGAGGCCTGGCCCTGGCCCAGGCTCCCGCCACGCCCGGCAGCTGCACCCCCTCCCCCGGCACGGGCCCCAGAAAGGCTGGGCTACAGTGTGGAGGGACAGCTCCCCTCCCCGCCCACGGCCGCCGGGGCTGCTGATAGGCAGGGGGAGCTTCCCGCCTGGCCCCCACTGCGGACGTCCGCTGGGCGGGCTCCTGCTCCAGACCCAGTGTCAGTCCCCCCCCATGCGCATGGTGAAGCCCAACCCTTCATGTGAGGGGGCAGGAGGCGGGGCCTTTGGGGGGCGGTCAGACCAGGACAGCAGAGCCCCCACGACGGGATCAGCGACCTTCTGAGTAGAGACGAGTGAGTGAGGACGCGGCGAGAAGGCGGCCGTCGGCACACCGGGGAGGGAACCCTGCCCAGACCCCGAGCCTGACTCCGGCCTCCGGGGCCGTGAGGGATGGACGAGTGTCTGTTGTTCGGCTGCCCTGTCCTTCCTCGGTATTTGGCGCCGCAGCCCGAGCTGCGGCGGTCTCCCGAACCGTTACGGCCAGAGGCGCTGGTTGCCAGCGGCAGAAACGCACTCTGGCCACTGACGCAGGAAGGAATTTGCTGGAAGAAGGTCAGCCCTGCATCACCGCACAGCTGGACTCCGCAGCCGGGGGCATGGCTGCCACCTCCCGAGGAGCGGTGGGTCACAGCTGCTCCACTGACCGACTGCACGGCCAAGGGACACTGTCACCGCTGCCAGACTCAAGGCCACGGGACACCGTCTCCCCGCAGCTGCAGGACCTGGCGCCAGACACGGCACCTGCCACTCACCTCCCACACGCTCTGGAAGCCCGGCTTCCGCTCCCAGCCTGGCGGCACCCCCAGGGGCCCAGGGAGGGTCTTCCAGAATGCCTGTGGCTGCACACGAGGTCAGCTGGGGCCGGGCGAGCTGCCCAGCCTGTATCTTCCGGCACGCGGGGCGGCCGGGGGAAAGCACGTGCCACCTGACACGCCTGGGGCCGTGTGGGTGGAAGTGTCGGCCCAGCCACACGGTGTCCCCTCCAAAATTCAGACATTGAAACAGTGGCCCCCATGTGACTGTGTATGGAGAGGGGTCTTTGAGGACATGATTAAGGCTACTTGGGGTCAAAGGGCAGAGCCCTAATCCCACAGGACCTGGCCTCACCAGTAGGGGAGAGGCGGCAGGGGACGGCCACGGGGGACACAGCGGGAAGGCGCCCTCTGGGAGCCTCTGACCGCAAGCCACCCCGTGGGCCCCTCCACCCTGGACGTCAGCCTCGGGGGCGGAGAGGCACGCATGCCTGCGGCTGGGGCCCCGGTCTGTGCTCCCCGGCCCTGGCGGCCTGCGCTGACCCGGACCGAGTGCGGCAGACACCACCGCCCCCCGCCCGGCACCCACAGCCCTGGAACCGTGCCGGGGCACCCGTCCGTGAAAGGTGGAGTCCCGCTGCCTTGGGATTCGGCTTCGCCGATGGTCACGGGCACTCGATCTCTCAGATGTCGGAGCCCGGGCAGGCTCGCCGGTCCCCCCACAGCCCCAGCCCCCAGGCCCAGGACAGCCTGGGGCCCACTGACCACCCGGCGGGCGGAGGAGCCGGCCCAGCCCAAGTCCAGGTTGCCGGCCCACCACTGCGAGCTGCATACACGGCTGCGGTTTGCCGCCCCTGAGCTTTGAGGTCATCTGCCACACGGGAAGAGCATGCCGACACGGACTGCCCGGGGTCAGGCGACGGCCTCTTGGGCCAGGCCCCGCGTCCCCACGGGGAGGGCACCAGCGGACACCCGTGCTGAGCAGGACCAGCACCCAGCCCGCAGGCTGGAGCTCGGGGCGGAGCCCGGGGCCGCACACGCCCCGGCGGCACGTGGCGCGGCCCTCGGCCTCGGCAGCGGAGGCCGGGAGGCAGCGGGACGCCCCCCAGGCACCGGCAGAGGGTAAGCAGAGGCGCTGGGATCGAGCGAGCGACAGGAGGACACTGTGAACGTCACGGAAGCGTGACAGCTCAGATAGATTCCTGAAGGCGCCACTTCCTGTCCCGGGCTCAGGAAGAACTGGGACCCTCGTCCCCGTCCGTGACCACTCGGACATCCGTCGGCGGGGGGGGGGGGAGTGTCATCCCGTGAAGGTGCCACGGGCCCAGGGACTTCCCAGGGACCCGTGCCGAGCCTCCGGACAACGGACCAGGCCGGCGTCGTGCAGAGCGCCCCCTCGCCGCCTCCCCCCACCCCCGCAGGCCCAGTGGCTCCCGGGCCCCCGCTGGGCGGGGTGGCCGTGGGGACCGCACGCCTCAGGAAGGAGAGCGACGGGCCGGCCTCACTCAGAAACGTGAGTGGAAAGCCCCGAACAGACGGTGAGTCTGAGAACCTGGCGAAAAGGATAAGGCAGGTGTCAATGGCCAGGGCCCCCGCAGGCTGACGCCCCTGCCCCGCCCTGCCCGGGGGACTCTGCGGCCCTGGGCCGCGGGACCGCAGGGGTGGGCGCCTCCTCCAGACCGGAGGCCGAGGGGGCGGGCTGCCCAGCCGCCCCAGCGGAGCCGGCTCCAACGTCTCGGGAGCAGCAGCGCCTACAGCAAAGGGGTCTGTGTGCCTGGCGCCTCTGCCGCCGACGGGAGCCCCGTGGCCGGACAAGGGCCTTCGACCACAGACGCTGAGGGGCTCCCCCCCTGCGGGGGCTCCTGCAGGCCCCATGGGAACCCAGTGGGCACTGGAGAAAATGGATGCAGCCGTGAGCTCCGCCTCTGGGGGGCGCTAAATCTGGGGGGGGCAACTGGGAGACGCCCCGCTCACACTCTGACTCAGCACAGCCTGGGCAGGAAGGCAAGGAAGGCTTGACCCCAAACACCCTACCGCTGCGGGCCACCCCGTGAACAGACCCTCGGCAGCCGGGGCAGACGGCTCACGGGGCTCACGCCCAGGGCGGTGTGTGCGGACCCAGGCAGGCCTGGGAGGGGAGGCCGGGCTGGGGCAGCGGGACAGGCAGGGCAGGCTGTGCGCTTGGGAACGTCTTTATTGCCAGCTGCAGGGAGCGGCAGGGAGACAGCCCGCCCCACCCCCACCCCCACCCCACCCCGGGGCTCTCAGGAGGGATCCGCAGGCCGCCTGGGGGGCCAGATCCGGTCCTTGATCCAGCCCACGTAGTTGGCCACGCGGGTGTAGACGCCGGGCTTGTTGAGCCGCCCGCAGCCGTCGCCCCAGCTGATGATGCCGTACAGGTGGGCCACCCCGTTCTTCTCGCAGGCCAGGGGCCCGCCCGAGTCCCCCTGCGCAGAGCTGCCCGTCAGCGCCGGGCCGGCCGGGGAGACCGGGGCTCAGCTCGCCCGCACCCTGTAAATAGCTCCCCGCCCCCCACCACTCCCGCCCCGGTCCCCCTCGCCCCAGCCCGAGGATGCCCCCAGAGGCATCTCCGAGGCTCCCCTGGGCCCCTGG